TCTTCTGGTAGCCTTCAACAGAAAACGTGCTTGAAAAGGCATATCTAATTGATTTAGAGAGAATTGAGTGCTCTCTGTAAATAATGTTTGCACAGTGTAAATCTCTCACAAATTAGGCATCCAGAGGAATGTGTTCATCAGCAAGGAGTTACAGGGCAACATCAATCTTTAGTGGCCAGTAACTACAAAAGGTAAAACATTCAGAATAAGTTGATTGACTTAAAATGTTCAAATATTTATTTCATATTTCACAACACAAAATACTCTCTCTTCAGTTGTGCTGGTGGATGCTAAGAATTTGAGAATCAGCTGATATAACAGTGCCCCAAGTAAGCTCTTCTGAGATTAACCTGCTTTAAGAAATAAACCAGTGAGAAGATAGATTGAGATGGATTGAAAATACTCCAGGATTATTCAAATGCCAGACCTGAGTCTGGATTTGGGCCATGTGTAACTTTTGTTTGGTCTTTCCCAGGTCCTTGAGAGATGAAGTCCCTACGATTCTTGTGAGAGACCCTGTATTTCATAGTTTTGTCATTCTTTCAGAGATCTGGAGTTTGTCCACTATTTCCTGCAGAGAAAACTTGGTAAAAATCACCCAGAGAATCCCAGTAAAGGGAACTGCATGTTGGTAAAAATTAATTGAGAGGCCTTGTTCTAGTGATTTACTAAAAGCAACAGGTTATATCTTTATTGATTCTGGCTTATTTCCTCCACATAAAATAAGACTTTTTGCTGCCTTTGATAACAAAACATTTACCAGACTCTTATTATTGTTATTGGTAGGAGCCCTTGCAGTGTATAACTGTTAGTACAAGAACGAAAAGTTCTGGCTGAAAAAAAATGAGGGGAAGATATGAGTGGAAGTTAACCTTTGTTATGTGTAATTAATATATATGAAAACACACAATGTTTGTTTTTCAGTTTCCTATCACATTTTCCATCTGGTCTCTGCAAAGCTTTTAAACTTCCACTTCCTTTCTGCAGTTTTGCAATACTCCTATTCAGTGGAAGTAAGAGGAAGAGCTTTATGAAGGATACATTGCAAATAGACTGTATGTAGGTGTTTGGATAAAATAGTTGGACTTAAATCTGGTTTGGTATAAATTGAAGACTCTTCAATGGAAGTGTGAAATTCAGCTGCTTTGTGCTTGGTGCTTCAAGTCTGCAGCACTTGTCCAAATTACTGGTATTTTTTCTTGCTGCAATTCATCTGTGATCTCGAAACACCTTATTAAGCAGTAATGAAAGTCTTTACAGGTTTTAGGCTTGATAACTGTAAATGCAGTTTGTGCCTAAGAAATCTTTCAAAGGCCAGGAGTTGGTAGCAGACTTCACTGATGTGCTGAGCCTCATGCCTTTATTCCTAGTCCAATACTGCTTCCCAGTGAAAATGAGCATTTCATAAACAAAGTGAATATTATCAAGGCTTTTAACATCTTGTGAAAATAAGAATAAAAGAATTAATTATAGCTTTGGGTCTTGATTGCAAAGAGATTAGTCATAGGACTCATGAATGTGACAAGAACATTGGATTGCATTGTTCTGCTTAGATTTCCCTCACCAACAACAGGAACCCCAGATCCCAGTGAGAAGAGGGCCTGTTACATAGTTTTGTAACAGCAACACTGAGGTAACTGCAATGTACATGTAGCAAGGCTGTAGAAGCCTACATTTCTTCTTCTTTCATCACTGAAGCCAGCCAGAGCCTTCTAGTGTGAAATTTGAGAGGACAGCCAAGCTTTCTCTCCTCTAAACATTCCAAAAGATTGATGAGCTCAAAATTTGCATCAGGATCAACATCCAAGTTTTGCAAATGGCATCTGTCTTACTAATTAGCTGATCCAAGCCTCCACATCTCAAACTACAAATATAAATATTCCATCACTTTAATCTGTATCCAGTCCAGCAACAGGATACTTATTCTGTTACTCACTTCTTACAAATTTCACTTCTCACTAATTTTACTTTTCAGAAAAGTAAATTGATTGTCACGAAAACATTATTTTATTTCTTTTTTTTTTTTAATTGATTTTTAATTTTTTTTCCTGAAGGCTTGAAGCCATTGATTCACAAAACTTTCCTCCCTTTTGTGCCTTCTCCTGACTGCCCTTTCGCAGCCCACAGGTATAACAAAACAACCTTGCAAGATGACCCTTACAAAGTCTATGAACACAAGCTCGTAAATCTGGCGCTTGAACAAGCTCTATTATTTTTAACTGCTTTTGTGTAAGACAAGAGGCTATGTAAAGAACAGGATGTTTTGAACATTGAACCCTGGTGCATTACCTAATGCTGCTGCTACAGATTTGATGTAATTTCTCTGCAGGTGTCAAAGGCATCGTAAAGATCATGCTACTGGGATGTTAAAGAGTTGGCAAATATGTGGACTTACCGATAATTCTTTTATGAACAGAAATGCCAAGGTTGCAATCTGTGTCTGTGTAGACAAATGACAACACAGCCAATTTTTGCAGTCCTTTTAGATTTTATTTTACTTTTAAATGACTGTAGACAGGATACTTAACTAACTTGTTAATCTCCACTTTTTCAGGAGACGTGTGGAGTGAGCATGGAACCTGGGGCTGCTGCATTGTCCTTAAGTAGGGAAGGACAATTACATTCCTATCGACACTGCAGGATTGCTCTGCAGCCATGTTCTCAGTTGCTCATCTTGCCTCAGTCCCTGAGGGACATTCACTGATATAGAAAGTAATCCTTCCAAATAATGCAGGTGTCAGAGGTCTGTTTAAGAGGGAGGCTTGGAAGAATCTTTTGTGGAAATTTACACAACATCTGCCCACACAATGGCTGGACAGTACTGTCCTTCCTTCAGTTGTCAGGTGCATTGGAATGTGTATAGAGGAAAACCCAAAGAAAATAGTAGATCCAAGAGTCTAATGCACAATTAAAAGGCAGTTATAGTTGGAAATAGGAAACATGATTTCTTTTCAGGCAATTTTTCTTGAGTTTATTAGTTTCTTTAGTTAGAACCTGCTCTCTTGCAAGATGGAACATTGTGTTAGGTGAGCCATTAAAGAAAGAAAATATTTTTATACTGTAGTGAGATTATCGATTTATTTTGTCTTTTTTTTAACTTTTTTTTAGGGAAATTGTCCTTTCTGACCATATGCGCAATAAATCTGAGGTTAAGTGGCTGCACTTATGATACACGTGTAAACAAGGACTTGATTTTACATTGTAAAAACATGGCTAAGATTAAAGTGGAAATGCAACTTTGCTGTGAGTTAGGAGCATAATACTGGGAGGGGCTTCTCTGAAGTGGGGCTGCACTATTTGCTCTGCTGTTCAATCTCTCTCACTGATTCATTTTCAACACCCTCTTCATGCTTCACTCATTGTGTCCTGGCTTTTAGATACATTCCTCCATGGTCACTTAGCATTGTCTCATATCATCTTACCATCATACATGCTTCTTTACAGACAACTATTATCAGCTTTACGCTCACTTATTCTCAAATTAGTGCCATTATTGTGGTGGATGAGCTAAGAACTGCGCCGCTCTTGGTGTCCTGTAAGTATCGAATTTCCCTTGGGCCACTCATTCAACATGGGGTGGGAAAAGTCACATTCCTCACTAAACTCAGCTACTGTCTAATGAGACTGGTCTGTGTTGCCTTTCTGCATGGAAATGCTGGCCGTTGAAAGCACCTGTTTGATCTCCCAGTTCATATTTCTGTCAGTGTAAGGGAAATCCCAATAGTACATTTACCAGTGCCAGTCTAATTTTAAATGGCTCTTGAGGTCATTTTGATCCTAATCTTGCCACCTTGGTTCAATACACTTTTTTAATGTACATTTTGTCCTACTGTATATGACTGTATAAGGCATAAACAATGGCAAGAACCCTCTGCTGGGGCTAGCTGGGGCATGGCTGGATGCTGAGGTGAGAGGAAGAAGTGGGAGGCAGCATGCCTCCTTCTGGATGGTGCAGAGGAGTTGGTAATGTGACACATATTCTTGTGCATGGCCTTGTCCGCTTTGGCGGATGCATGCCTGATTGCTTACTGGGGGCTTGTTGAGCTACTCTATTGCCCTGCATCTAATGTAACGATTCCAGTGCCTCCAGTGTTTGAAAACCCAGTATGAAATTTATGCATAAGAATAATCATGTTTTAATTGTTTAATCATATACGATTGCACATGTTTTTCATAGTCAGAATCAGAGCACCCTGTACCTTACAGGATTGATTTAACCTAGGGGAAAGAGAGCTTACTATCCCATCCAGTCAATGGGGTGCTAAGGAAAATCAAGTCTCATTTGAACTGTTTGTTCTATTGCCAAGTCTTATGGCTTTACTTCAGATCGTAATGATATTTGATGTTTTTAAGCCTTCATTCCTTAAATCAAGACATACTGCAAGAATTTGAGCATTTCTTTTAAAAAGGTAGCTTTTATACTCTCACAATGTATTGGGAAGGTTCGAAGGCTCACAAATTAGGAGACAAGAAAGGATGTTACATATATCCTCTGGAAAATCTTACGACTTTTTTTTTTCTGCAGCCTCATGACTTTTTTTCAGCTTCGATTCACAATTTTTAAAGATGTGGAACAGCTGGCAATATTTCTGTCCACTTAAGGTGCTGCCATCTTACCCAGATGGCACTCAGAGGATAGTCTCACTTGCAAAGGAGACTCTTTAAAATGCATTGCTCATCTTTTAAAGAGGACAGCACAATGGCCCTGGGAGCCTTTACTAAGAATTTCAGGCACAACCACAATAAAAATAATAAATAAATGAGGCATCTCATTCTACACAGAGATGCTGCATAGAGCTGCTGTTAAATTGCACATTTGCAAATAAAAGCAGCCTAAATTTAACTATGACTCAATTACACTGAATCTAACCAATTTTTGTTCTGTGTTTCAATTTAACACTTATTTACATTCTTAGACTTGGCGCTGCTGGAAGAGAAGGGAGGGAGAAGCAGGCATTTTTGTCCTCAGAATTGCTATAAAAAAATGGTGATTAGGAAAACACAGCTATAGTCAGCTTGAAGCTGGGTAGCTCATTTGAACCCACTATAAAAGAAAAGATTGTTTTCTCATCCTATTAAAACTCAGTTAGCAACGGCCGTGTAGGCGGCAGGAGATCAGAAATGAACATCCAACTTGGAGTTTGTACAACTGGGGTCAGGTCCAAAGCAAACTGCCTGATTAGTGAAACAATTTGTATTTTACAATGACAGCAAATAGGTAAATCTTGTGAGCATCAGGAAATCCTGGAGGATTTTGAATGGGAGCACTGGCTGGTTTGCAAGCTGCACTTTGATTAGAAGGCGTCATTGCCGCTGCTTTTTTTGTACTCATATTGCAGGGACATAAACAAGAGGGACTCGATTTGCTAAGGGTATTTATTTCTCTGTCTCTGTCTCTCTCACTTGTTTTTACAATCTACATGTAATGACTAATTGGCTGTGTTTTCCCAGCTATTTTATGTTTCTCTTGCCCTTGTTACAAGTCGTACTAAGCCAGTATATCCGTGGGGACCTATAGACAGCCAACATTGCCAAATGATATGCAGCATTCCCCTTTCTCTCTAAGTGTAAAACATTTACAAGTAAATTTACAAATGCATTAAGAACATTTCCCCCGTTGGCTGTTAGTGTTTATTTCTTCCCCTTCTCCTCCTGGGAGTGGACACCTTTCAGCCCCTCACCTTTCACACACTGCTCTCCTGTTATTTGCCTCCATCCCTCCCCGTCGCCCCATTCCCTTCTCCTCCTCCTTCTCCTTTTCCAGTTCAGCAGCGCAGATTTCTGTTTGTGCCAGTGGGGCGGCCTGGCGAGACCGCAATTGCTCTACCCCACAGATTGACGAGCCCTCAGATGCCGATTTACTGTACATGGCAGCCACGCTGGAGCCGAGGCACATCTGGAGTGGAGTAAGCTTACTCAGAAACAGGGGCCAGCTCCAGCCGGAGCCAGCAGAGCTGAGCACGGCGCTGAAAGGCAGCCCTCCTGCCTCCCCTTCCCTCCTCCCCGGGTACATTTCCTAATGTAAACAGAGGCCAGGGGGGAAGGACACAGTAACTCTTTGCTGCGTGTTTGTCATTTCATGTTCTTTATCTGCTTGAGGTCAAACTGGAGCTCTGGAAAAACAGAAGCTTTGCTTTTATTCTAAATAGCTGAAAGCCAGCGCTGCTGAAGGGTGGGGGGGAAAGAAAGAGTTTGCTTTTGTGTTTATTTGTTCCACTTTATGGTAATTTGGGGGATAATTTCATTATCTACAGCCAAATTGAAAACAAGCTGTTGTCTATGCTAATGATACCAGTGTATTATTTTATATACAGTAGGCGTGGAGCTCTTTAAACCACAAATGGACTGGATTCCTGCTTACAGCTGTACCGCTTTAAGTTTTTGTTGTAGTCACAAAATGAGACTTTCCTTTTATTATCTGGAAACGAAAAAGATTATGGATGGCTGCTTTGTTTTACAAAATGGCGAATACCTTTTACAGCCCAGAGCCAGCCTGCTGTCCCACAAATGCATTGTGGCTGTGTTACTGAAAGAAAAAGCATGGTCCTTTTGGGGCAGATATGCTGATTTTATAGCCCAGCTCACTGGACTGCTGAATTTGAGTCTCTGTAAAGAAGTGGAAGAGATTTCTGAAGCATTTACTGGCTGTCAGTAATCTGGACAAGTACTCTGCGATTCTTTACAAGCTTTATATAGCTTTTATTTCTCCTTTCTAAAAGCAAAATGACAACGTTTATAGTTTAGTTGTTCAAATGACATTAACATTATAAACATGCAATTTAAAATGGCTTTTCCCTCTCAATACTCCTTGTAACTCAATAGATTTTGCAGTGAATAAAGGAGAGAAAACAAATCGCAAATCTCAGAAGACACTGCTGCTGATAACATACTGATGCATTGCTATGTTGATTTAGCTGTCTTTAAAGTCTGTAGTGAAATTCACGTTCAGATGAAAGCAGTGGTTTACCCAGTATGGAGACTGTTGATCGATCTTGCTGAGTAATTCCATGAATAAACCACTGTGGGTCAGCCCCAAAAACATTTTTGTTTATAGGATTAGAAAATCTTTGATTGCTGCATGGTTTTCTAGGGATGTTGGTTCATTGTCTCCCCTCAGCTCACAAGTTTGGTGGATTAAATAGTGACCTTCCAGTTGAGTAGGTTGCTCCCATGATTCTTGATGGAGACTAGCATATTTATCACGTAGGAAGAATTTGGCCTGAGCTGCAAGTGTGGCTGGGCAGCAGCTCTCATAGCATGGTAGTGCAAAGTTTCAGCAGTGCATCTCCCCATGGACCTCTTATGATTACTATGTTCTGTATTGATATGCTATAATACTTATTCAAGAGATAGCAATATAGGTTGCATACTTCTGTATTAACTGTTTTTAATGAATACTGGTTTAGTTGTTTTCTTCAGAAGCATTTTTCTCTTACTTTCCTGGCAATTCAGATCTCAGTGGGAAAGGGCCAAAATTCCTCATGAACCACCATGGCCAGGTCTCAGCCTTCTCACCCAGGGAAACACTGGGTATCACCTCTCTATGGCTGTTTAAAAAACACTCGAGGTGAAATTCAGTAAGGAGGGGACTGATTGATTGCATGGCAGAGGTTGTTGTTCAGCTTGGAAAGACTGCACATCTCCAAGGTCTGTAATAACCTTTCTGTGCCTGAAACCTGAAACAGCATCATGGGTCCTTGGACAAATCCAGGGCTGGTACACAATTTTGCATGATATAGGTGATTACCGAGGTAGATAAGTTGGCTTGTTTGGGTTGAAATGATTGATTTGGAAAAAAAAAATAATGCGGGAAAGCTTATGGAACCAGTCTAAAAAGTAAAGTCGTTCAGCAAACTTCAGAGAGACCTTGGAAGCTGACTGAAATCTAAACTTTCTGCAGGGGCGGTTGGATTTTGGCTAAGCTCTTCTGGAACCCTGTGGGGCTCTGGAGGAGCCCTGACTGGCTGGCAGATCATTGCTCAACCTTCTGACAGCCAGGATAGGGGATTGATGGCCTGTCGTTGCAGGATGGCCCACCAAGTAGTCTACCCTTGAACTAGAGTCCTCAGTGCTTCCATGTTTCAAAACTGGGACAACACTTGTTTTGAAACTTTGTTGATATGTTTTGATATGCATTGGACATATTTTTTATTTCAATGAGTTACCAAATCCTGACCCCCAAAAATGTTCCATAGGAGTTTCTTGAATAGCTCTGTTACAGTCTAAGTTTAGTGACCCTGAGGGGAGAAACAAAATAAACAAAAAAAGGTTTCTCCATAAATAAAATGGAAATAAACCAGAATCCTGTGAATGGGTTCCTGCTTCAGCAGGATTTCTTTGACCCTGCTTACTGGGCAGCCCTGCCTGGCATTCCACTTGGTGTCCTTGGACCTCTAGTAGACTGGTCTGGGCTCAGTTACACAGTTCTTGTCTTAACTTTATATGTGACATCCTGATAGTATGTGTTTAACATTTTTGTTTGTTTGTTTGTTTTTTTTCCTTTCTATTTAGCACATATTTGAAATTGATTCAGCTCCTTGTCTTGCACTAATGCCAAAAGTCCCTTAAGTCTCAAAATAAAATCTTCTTGGTAGATGACTACGCATCCTACTGGTTATGCTATTATGATTATATCAATAGCATGTTCTCCAACTTAAGCAGTGTGCAGGTGCAAAACTCTCATTCAACAGTACATAACTCTTTCATCTGCCATTTCTTGCCAGTAGATTTCCTGCACATATGAATGTTTCTTGTGAAATTTCTGAAGAATAACTGCTGGGCTTTTGCCAGTTGTAAGAAAACAAATACACAAACAATCCTCCTTCCAAAATTCAACAGCTACCCCCTTCCCCAATCCTCTCTTTTAGAAAATACTACTACATAGTAGATGTTCTACATCTAACCAAAAAAAAAAGTTTGTGAAAAAATATGTAGTACTGTGGATTAATGTAGCAAAGGTAAAAGTAAAAAATTTACTAGAGCTGAGTGGTGCCAATAATGTCATCAGAGCCTGCCTGTCTGTTAGTATGTTCCTTTGGCTCACATGGGTGCCTCAATTTAAATATGTGCACACGCCTATCCTTACTCAGTTACTCACTCTCTGACACTTCTTTTGAATCCCATCCCATTATATTAGATTTAAAAGAGATTGGCTATGGCAAATAATAATAAAATTTCAAAGAAGCCTTAACTCAGTGTTTTTTTTTTTAAGTAAATGCAGCTTTAGGACCTATGTGCATGCTCAAGCAGAAGTGAAACCTATAGAATTTGCATTCGCAAACTGTGTTTATTCCAGTAGGCTCTGTTCTCTGTGACCATCACCCAGAAACAAGGACCGAAGAGCATTTGGGAGTCGGAGGAGAGTTAAGGGTTTGAAAAGTGTATCAGTAGGTGTTAGTCTGCAAAAACATATGTGTGTGGGAAAAGGGCAGTTAAACTAACCCAGCTATTAATACTGTACTTTAAAGGGCAGTAGATCTCTTTAACATCTAAATAAACTGAGAAATCTGCCTAGAAGTAAAAAAGAAATTTCCAGTTTCAAGTGTGTTATTTCCTCTCAATGTGATTATTTACAGTATATCTGTTCCATGTTTTTTTTCAGAATATGTTATTGACATTTGAATGGTATTTCAGCAGAAGATTGTGACAGATGTGAAACAGTCAAACACCAGCATTTGCAGTATTTTTGACCCCAGGATAAACTGTTGTACTTTAAAAAAATTATCCTGTTGTACTTCCTTTGCCTGCTTTCAGTGTTTTGTTTTGCTAAAGCAATAAAAGAGTCATTCAACTGGAGCCTGCCATTTGTTATTGGCATTTCTCAGAAGAATGAGAACAGTCATCAATTATATATTTTTCCAACAAAAACATATACTCAGTATATAAATGTTCAGATTATAATTTCACCCCAAATATGTATGTATCCTAAAAATAAACCACAATAATGTTAGCCTAAGCAAAAATGAAGAACAGCAAAAGAATGAAGTAGGGGAAAAAAGGGGGGAGGGAGTGGAAAGAAAAGCCACAAGAATAAAAATGCAGCATTAAGTAATATAGTGGATGTAGAAAAAGGAGCTTAAAGGTGAAGTTAAGAAAGAGAGAAAGGAAACTATGCCCAAAATTGTTGGAAAAGCACAATCTGTTGTTACCAGACAGGTGAAATTCTGATCACAGTCACTGCATTTAAGTCAGGTGTTCTGAAACTCAACAAATTAAACCCCTGGGGTTTGAAGTGCAAAAGGTTAAAGAAAGAATCCAGTGATTTCAGTGATCATCAAATGTTGATTCAATAATTGTGTCAGGCCAGAATTTTTCCTCTATAAATTCCAAATTGAATTATACAAATAAAAATTCAATTTTCTAAAGAATTCTCTCTCAGGTTTTTCTGAAGGAAGAAATGAGGCTTGGAAGCTCTGATTTTGCAAGGGAGAATCTAGTTTAGGATGAGGTTTGTGTTTTGAACCTGCATTTTGCCTAGGGCTTCAAGCTGGACCCATCTTTAATTTTGTTGTACACCAACTAAGAAAAGTACAACTCTTATTAATTGCAAAGGATTGTATGTGTGCAGCAATGGGTAAAACTGTGCTTGCTATTTTTCATTAATTTTTTAAAGCAAAGCCCAGTTGTAATATGAGTATGCTCCTCATTAGTAACAACACTAAAATATTACGTTTCCAACAAAACTTGCAAAATGTTACATTACTTTTTGGTCCACTGAACTACTGAACTGCCAGTTTCTAACAGAAAAGAGTTGTAACCAAATCACTAGTAAAGGGGGCAGGAAATTAGATAAAAAGGAACACTGGTTTTACATGCATAAATGAAAAGGTGTTGGCTTTAAATATATAGCCTTTCAATATATTTTCCAAATCTTCAAAAGTCCCAGACTTTCATTATTGAAATGCTGCGCTAAATGAACTGAAAGTGCTGCACCACTCTTACCTGTTGCAATCTTAGCGCAACATGTATTTTCTATATCATGAAAATTCCTTATAGCCTGATAGGCACCATTGTGCCTTTGGAAAAGAAAAACTTTAGGGCTTGCATGATTGCAGCATGATAATTGGATAGATAAAGATTGATTTTCTGATAACTGTATAGCAAGACATTTTTTTGGAGGAAGTTAGCATTGCAACCAGATTAATATCTTTGCTCATTCTTCTTGGAAAATTATGGTAGGAACAGATTTTGAAATCCATATAGCAAACTCTGTAGAGAGAAGAACTTTCTGAACCTTTACTTTTGGTAGGGAGGAGGAGTTATAAAAGCACAAGACTATGCAAAGTTGGATGGGAATCATCCCACCTAACTTGAGCCACCTGTGTTAAGAGTGTACCTATTTTAGTTTTCCTTTACAACCAGTGGAGGATGAGAGAGCTCCAGGTGAGCCATATTTTAATTGGTTGCATTGTCAGCTGCTGGAGTGTCTCTCCCCATTGACTGTAAAGGGCATTTAGGGGTCTTACAGCCCATGGGCAGCTGTTTCCTTTCAGTGCCCATATTTAAGTATATATTCCAGTCTATATACTTATATTATATACTCATATACTTATTTAAGTATATATTCCAGTATACACTATAAATGTAGGATGTGGAGTTACAGAGTTATGTAACAAATGGAGTTCTTGGTCCTGTCTAGGAAACCCCAAGTTAAACTTCGCTAGGTTAACACCAAGTCAAAATCTACTGCTAGGAAGGGAGGAGGAAGAGGAAAGAGAATGCATCCTGGGTGAAGAAATAAAACATTTTCTCAGCTGCTTACTCAATAATATTGTGCTTCAGGCTCAGGATGTTGCTTCATCGTCAAGTAGCTGATCTTTTCTTGTCATGCTTTCCTATTGTTTTCCATTCCTTAAATAAGCCTGGCTTTCAGCTGCATTTTTCATTCCTTTAATTCATTTTCAAACCCCCTAAAAAATAGAGATTAGTTTAGCAGATCAGGAATAATGAGAAAAAAGTTACATAATGGACCTATTTAAATTACACAGTTGCTATTTGCCTTTGCATAGTAATAAAGATAAAGTTAATAGCTTCCTCTTTATTTAGCTGCTAAATTCTGCTTTGTTTCAGGGATCAGCTCTACCGCAGTAATAAATTGTTCTTTGCTTGTTAATCACTATTATTTGCTCTCCTTTGAATTGTTGTGAAGTTTCAGAACATGGGCAGTCCTCTTGCAGACAGATGAATGTGTTATCTATTAGACCTTTTATGCTCTATGATTTGGATGAAGTATTATTACTATTATAATTATTTACAGACATTAACAGCTCTTGTTAGGGCTTCACTGTGCAGCCCATGATATCACAGCAGCTCTTAGGTAGAGCTCCATTGATGTCATTGATGAGTGTTCTATGCAAAAGGTACAAGAACAGCATAGTGCTAGTTATTATACAGTCAGCATTTGTCAACAGTTTCCAGACCACTGTACTTGCAGTTAAATCAGAAAATAAGTAGGGGGTTACAATTAACATCTGAGGTTCATTGTATTACTTTTTTGTTTTTTATTCGTATTCATACCATATATGCCGTTATGACATTACATACTGCAGAATATTGCCGTAAATTTACTCCTTGACTTGGAGTTTTGTATCATTACAAGGTGTAGCAGGAGGAGATGTGCAAGTAGTTGTAGACATACTATAGTGTTCTTCAGCCAAAGAACAGTCCAGTGCAACAGTTACACAGATGGAAGTGTTGGAGCAGATTATTGTCATCTTAATATTTATATAAATATTACAATCTAGAGTTAACAAAAAAGTAAACACTTTTTTTTTTTTTTTACTTTTTACCTCACACATATTTTTAATTAAATTTGGCAGTTAATGCAGGAAAACTCTCCCAGGCTCAGATTTTCTCCTATTGCTCAGACCTTGTAATCAATAAACTCCTGTTGAGCAAAAGCGTTATCTAAGTTTCACCAGTTAGTTTCCCTTCAATTCAAAGTTCATTACCACCTTTTTTACTAAGTGTACTTGCTGCATCTGATGTTCAGTGGTCATCATTATAATCTCTCTCCTGCTTTTTGGTATGGTGCCATTACATGATTTTCATTTAAGATGTTCTCTGTTTTGGTCAAGAGAAACACATATTTGCTGTGTTTGCCCTCCTGTCTTTAGGGTAGCAAAGAAAAACAGCCTGAGGTGACTTGATTGAGCTCCTATACAGAAAACATAGCAGAAGAACTTATGTTATTAATTACTTCTGTATTCATTAGCAGGATTCCTTGCACTGAAATTGCTTATAGCATTTATGCACATTGCAAAACATACAAATTGGGGTATGGGCTAGACTTATCTCTGAGACAAGCTACACCTACTGAGTAGATTTCAGACCACCTGGGATGGACTGTGGTATCCCACCAAGGCTGTGTTGTGCCTCTTTGCAGTGAATTTGGACTCTGGATGGCAGAAATTCAGAAATCCTGTATTTTAATGCCCAAAGCTGTAGCCTACTCTTCAAAGTATCAGCCACTGGGCACCAGCAAATGAAGCTAACTTACTCACCCAGTCCGGTTATCTCATACTCTGTGTGTTTATTTGAATTTGCAAGATGCTTCCTGAAAAAAGGCTTTTATGAGGGGTCTGTATATGTTGAAATGTTCAGAGGCCTTGCAGTGGTCCTCTTAGAGGGCCATAATTTGCTGTCTTAGAATGCTCAGGAGAATGCATCCAACTCTTCAACTGTAAAACGTGAGCTCCAAGTTAATGAAATATTTAGGGGAGCATTTATGAACAATATGCATGTGTTCTTCCATCTTCAGTGGTTTAGAGTAGCATTTCAGACTAGCATAATAAATAATCCACAGTCACTGAGTATGGGTTGTCACTGTGGGCAGTTTACTTGGGTTTCTCAGCATTTGGAAACGGTATTTCTCACCTCCTCCACACAAGTCTTTTCACTACCCTGCCAACTTCTTAAAGGGAAAAATAACTTCATTCTGGTTTGAGGTATTTCAAAAGTTATGTGAGGAGAAGCTTAGCTGATTTTTTTTTGCAGGAATATTAGCTCAGGTATGCACCTCACTTCTAAATAAGCTACATTTCAGGAAGCATTTATCTACAGTGGGAATGCTCAGAAACATTCACATTTGAAAATGCTGTTGCACCAGTAGGTCTCAAAAGCTATGTCTGTGTGAAGAGCTTAATCTTTGGCAAAGTCTAAAAAGCTGTTGCCATGCTTGGAGCAGAATGTATTTTAGCAACTAAAAGAAGTTATGTGTCTAGCTGTCTTAGTTTTCTGAAGTACATCTACAGCCAGCTGTGTACAAGTGTGAGATCCTTCCACTGAAGATGCCTGTGGAGATGTCTGTCTCTGCTGATTATAGAAGAAGCACCTGTAATCTAAGCATCTTCCAACAGATGCTTAACTTTAAGAAGTGAGGTGAAATGAATCCTCCTGCTTACATTTACATATAAAGCTCCTGTAGTATGGACTCCCAGAACTTGACCTTTCAAGCTTAACTTGATATCTGAGCCAGTGACTGAAGCCAGACTCCCTGGCATTTCCCACTGTGCTGCCTAGAGTGTGAAAAGGTGCAAGGAGTCACATCCAGAACAAGAACATCTACTTACCGTGCTGTGTTCATGCGGACATCAACACTGCAAATCAGCATTGTGCAAACAAACTCTTCACCTTAAAAGAATCACTTAGGCTAGTAATTGTGAGGCCTGCCTATCTTCAGCTTTCCACGATTGAAAGCTGTTCTTTATTGGTTTAAAATACAAATATCATTTGCCATAGAGAGAAGTGAATTGTTGAGAGAAGTGACTCTAGTCATTACAATTAATGATGAGCTG